GGAACATGTAACGAAATGATGAAAGATTTTGAACGTTAATAACTCAGCTGCTCCTGGACCAATTTCAATAATTTTATCACCAATCGATCAGAAATATTTCTTCGCATCGATAGCAATGCTGTTGATTTTAAACAAAAAATTATTTAAAAAAATGGGAAATGTCAAGCATATCATCATCATATCATATCATCATATGCTCATATCATAGGCTTAGACAAGTTTTTAATCTCCTGGTCTTCAAAATTCGTAATTCAAGATCTTAGGAAACTTACCTAGATTCTGAGCCTATGCAACGTTTCCTGAACATCTACAAAACTTAGGTTTAATAAAATTTCCTCAACTTCTTCGAAGCTCCCTGAATTTATTCCAAATTCCATATTTTTTTTTCCATTTCTTTAAATTCTTCAAAGATCTCTGAACATCTTTGCACTTCTGGAAAGACACCTAAGACATCTACCAATATTCTTGAACACCTAGAAAGTTCCTTGAGTTTAGCAAAGTTCCCAAAACCTCCAAGAAGTTCATGGAGCTTTTTTGGAGTAAGATCTCTAATGAACTGCAACGAAGTTCCCTAAACTGAAGCGAAGATCCCTGAAGTTCTTAGAAATTTATTAAACTATTTCTAGATCTCTTAAACAAAATCCTTGAACTTTTTTTAAAATTCCTTACACTTACACACTTAGATTTTTTTGCCGAGATTGGCACCACCGAGCAGGCTCGGCATTTATTTTTACTGAGATCTCAGCAAAATTTATGTTTGTTAGACGAGATCTCGGCAAAATTTCCGTTTTTTAACTGAATCTCGGCAGATTTTTCACTGCGATTCAGCAAAATAGATTGCCGCAAAAATGCTACGAAATTCGAAAATCTTCTACAAAGTTTGCTGTTGAATTTCCATAACTATTCCAAATCCATGAGGCTAAAAAAAATTATGAAATTATGTAGAGGTTCCCGATCAATAATGAGCTTCCCTAAAATAAAATAATTTTCCTTCAACTTCTACGAAGGTCCTCAAATTTAAATGAATTCTCTACTTATACGCAGTTTTCAGAACTTTTCCAAGTTCCTTTTTTCTACGAATTTTTTTGAAGGTCTATGAATTTCCCAGAATTTCTACCAAGTTTACTTAATTTCTACGATCTTTTACGAAGTTTCTACAAGTTAAAGAAAAAATCCTGGGCTCATGGCCAATTTGTAGAGCCTGAAGACGTCTTATTGCCATCGATTTGATATAATATAATTCAAAATTGTTTCTTCTAGTCCAGAATATAACAAAAGTAATCAACATTATGGACTTTAAAAATTCTTTGTTGGTGGTCCAATTTTATTAATCACTGTTAAATAGTAGCATTGAACTTAACAAGCTTGACAAAATACCGGATAGTCAAAAACAAACACCAACAATTCTGGAGGGGGCCTAGATAATTCTGGAGGGGGCCTGGCTCCCCTGGCACCCCCATTAGTTACGCCAATGCCTACTAAGCACAACCTGCGCTGTACCTCTCTTTCCTGAACGAGTTTAAACAAGAAATGGAATATTTCTCTCAAGTCAAAGATGACTTCAACATTTATTCACCGTTGACATGGATTTGATAGAGGGTTACAATTTTTTTTTCTTGATTTTCTTTACGTCGATCTTGTTTTCCGTGCTGAGCACAAATGCTACCGACGCCAGGAAGGCAGCTCCCACACCTACCTATCAACCCATCAACTCATGAACCAGGGACCAACGGCTTTACTTCCCTTCCAAAGGAAGGCGTGATCAGAGATGTTATGCCTCAGAACATCCCGGCGGCGCCGACTGGGATTGAACCCAGGCCTGCTGGAGTGAGAGGCAATCACGTTTACCACTACACCACCGGTGCCGCTCCGAGCTACACATTGTTGAGATATTGTTTAAAATCTAATACTGCTTCTTGATTCTAAACAGGCTTGCAATTGCTCATTACAACTTATATGCTATTTTTCGTAATTATGAAACTATGGGATACTATAATGATAATTTTGATTTGTAAGATGCAAGAAGAGGTGGTAAAGTTTGGGTATGACATTTAAAATTTGTCAATTTTGCTTTCAGAAGCTCACAACTAGCGATTTTATGATCGCTGATTGCTCGCTCATCGCGTTGCTCATCGTTACAACTAATCGCTATTGTGACCCTCTGAAAGCTAAATTGACAGGTTTTATGTGTCAGACACACACTTTACCTTCTTTTCTTGCATTTTGTAAATAATAATTATCATTGAAATATCTCATAGCTTCATAAATCCGAAAAATACCATTTTAGCTGTAATGAGCATTTGCAAACTTGATTCTAAAATCGTTCTACGAGTTTCAATTTCCTAACGCATTGAAATGCCGTTAGATTTTCTTCGTCATACGGAAAAGGGGGATTCGCTACGAGCGCTTCTTTTGTTTTGAGAACAATAAGTGTACAATGCACTCTAACAGGATTTATGTTGTAGCTAATGAACTAACGCATCTGAACAAACCTATTATTGATTTGTGCACGGTAAAATCAAATCAAATGAAATAGCCGATTATGACGAAGTAGCACGCTACCCTATCTTTAGAAGACATTTGCATACTGCATGCATTTGATTTGAATGTTTATTTAGCGCAATTGCTTGATTTACGCCGTAAAGTATGCAATCGTTGATTTATGATGAATGTTAGAAATTAGTACCTGCTGGATGGTATGGTACTGGATAACTTCTTTGACACCTTGCAGAAAGTTAAGCGTTCCATGTTCCGTGTGCTGATAAATCCTTGACTACCAATGCAATTGCCTTACGTTTGTGCACCAGAAAAGACATTCTATTAAATCCTCTAAACAGTGATCGTTCTCAACTTGTTCAGGATCAATATACCGATCCAACAGACAGAATGGAATGGACGTGAACAACTTGAGCCAAATCTTGGAAAGTGGCTCATTTGTGTAAAATTACGCATCTGTCAATTTACGTTAATATTTAGAAATTTTCGTTGAATATTTCCATTTTCCCTCCTTGAATGTTGGCACTTCGCCACACAGCTGTGAGCTGAGCATGTATTTTCATTCGCATACCGAAGAAGACAAATCTCTTCCGCTCATCCAAACAAGTCTACGTCATCAGTTTATTTATGCTACATCATCGGCAACGGCTGGTCCCAGACGGAACGACGACGACGATGACGACGGATATAGTTTGCTATTATCAGGAGCATTCCACTTAATTGATAAAATGAAACAAAAGGCAATCAGTCCACCGACGGTCCCTCTCTCATCCGTATCTACAGGCCACTAGCACATGGTACGGGAAAAGTGAGGTTACAAGCAGGATTGCACTTTACTGCCAAGTTTGAGTTGTTCGGTTCGTACGAATTGCACTTTCACCCGTCATCGGCAGAGGAAAACTGGCTGCCATGTGACGTCCGGAAGTGGCTGACTGCGGTTGGTTGGGCTGATTGTCGTCAGGATAAGTTTGAGTCGTCTCGGAGCTCCTCTTTGTGTGGCACACATTCACATATGCACTTTCAGAAGCGATCTGTCGAGGGAAGCAGCGGCAGTATGTGAGAGTTTATTTATAGAGTGAATCTCTTGAGATCCGTCCAAGTGGATCCAATCGAAAGATAACGGAGTGCTGCACCACATATGGTGATAATTTATCAGGGCTTTGGGGCGGCTTAGTAGTACGAGTCTTCCTCTTCATTGGAGGGCTAATCATGCAGCAGGATTATAATTGAATTATTGAAATGAATGACCCAGCTCGGATGCAATAATCCTTCGAGAAAGGGATGATTTATTGACTTCGTTGCCTGAGAAGAAGGGACAGGTCAAGTGAAATGCACCCTTACGAGATGACTTTAAGCGGACATGGGATCTCTTAAACAAGTGTACCTTCGCTTGTCCACTTAGTTACCGTTCACTTCTTCGGGTCTCATAATCAAAGATGATGAAATTCCTACGGAGCTGGAATTTTGACTGTTGATATGCTGCTGGGGGGCTTTTATTATATTACATATTTTCCCATCCTGGCGGGCGAACCCCACTTGACATTTAGCTGAATGTTGTCATTCATATTAATTACATGCCGAGTGCGCGCTTGTTTTTTTATGCCATAATGCGACAGCTGCTTTTGAAGTATTGGGAAACTGAAGGTCGAAAAATCAATTACCGGTTGGAAACATGGAATGGAACATGAGTACACTAAAATACATTTGGTTTATTTATAGACCGATGGAGCCGCACGGAAATTTACTCTACCCAGAATAATGGTGTGATGAGTATTCACACAATGCAATGTTTCAACTGTTTCCTAACCAACTATACAAATATATTCGTAGATGTACAGTCAAGGCCAACAATTGAAAAGGCCTCAACTCAATTTTGAAAACAAACCAAGGCCATTTTCTCACGAACCGAAACCTACATTCGCAAGCGTAAACCACAATCGGGTAGAGCAGAATTTCCCCTACCTGTTCGTTTTGTTGGTTTGCGATGGCGGGCTTCGGTTCGCGACAAAATGGCCTTACAAGGTTTGTTTACAAAAAGGAGTTGAGGCCTTTCCAATGGTTGGTCTTGCAGTGTCCAAGCTGAATCTCATTAACTAAACTCCTAAAAGGACATCTATTTGCTAAACACTGAAGACACTCTATGCACTTACACACAAGGTTCTACTCTAAGAATTCATAACTTTTCTATACCGTTTAAGTATAACTCATCTCAATTTGTGTGGATTAGTCGATTAGTTTTTAGTGTACAAACACAAAGAAGAATGTCAATATGGAATATCAATCAAATGACGTCATATTTACAACATGTGAACCTAAGTGCAATGAGAAATGCCTGATTAATTAGTATGTTTGAATCCGGAATGATGTAGTACAAATCCATCACCAGCGCCCTTGATGTACTTGTCGTGAGAAACGCTTTGCAACCCTTCACCAAAGTGTCAAACCCCACCCACCCACATACCAAGCACCAAAAACGAACCCCCGTTCCCAATCATCATACTTACGCGATCTTCTCCGAGGGCGACCTCCACGGAACGTCATCGTCCAGCTCGTCGTCGCTTTCGTTATCCTCCCCGTCGATTCCGTCCTCACCGGATATGCTGAACGAAGACGACGTGAACATATCCGGCACCGGTAGGATCGAAGGCCTCCGACTCCCTGACAACCAAAACCACCTCGTTAGCAGTTGCTTTTTCCAAAAGAAAACCAAACATCACTCACCTCTCCGCTGGTTCAGGATGTCCGGGCTGAGCAGGTTGGGATTGTTGTTGCTCGGGATCTCCAGGTGGTTGGCCGTCGTGATGGCCGGTGGTCCCAGCGTGGACTGGGTGGTGGCCGTCGTCGGAATGGACACCTCCTTGAGGTTCGTTTTCGAGTCGGACACCGTGATGGCATTGGCGTTGGAACCCGTCGTACTGGCAGGGTGGGCTGCACTCTCGGTGTAGGTGGCTGCGGAGCAGGTGATGGGAAATTGAAAATCACGACCGGTTAGACAGACGGCGAGGTAATTGGGAATAAATAAATGTTTTGTTTTCAGATTATTTTCCGATTGAAAATTGATCGATTCCAATAAATTATCATTTTGGTTTTGCAGTTCTGCGTAAGCTTACGGTCAAAACCTACGAACGGTGCGGGGTTGGTGATACGGATTAAAAATCTGCTGACAGGCGTGGCTCGTGTTTATTATTTTTAAATTTATTATTAATGCCATCCGCTAAAGCCACCGTCGGATTGGTGCTGGGGGAAGGTAGTGCAGCATGGTGATTAATAATGGCATGATGAAGGATCGCATGGGGAAAAATCGTTAATAACGAACATGAAATGTCCAATCATGCCCGGCACGGACGGGAAAAGTTTTATGTTTGTTTCAGCAGCTCAGTTAATCAATTATTGAAACATTTCACGTGTTCGACGTAACATTCGGTAGACTAACGAGATAGGTACGGGAAAGGCAAATATTTGCTGCTTGCTCATTTATTAATGGGCCATAATCGGATGTCAACTGGAGTGGACTGACACAGTGCTCACGATTGGATGAAATTGCATGGAAATTGTGCAGTTTTTAGATTGAGCGAGCAGCAATTTGTTGATCATCTGTACTGTACTGTTTATTTGAAATCAGGATCGAGCCGCAATCGACTAAAGCCTAAGAAACGTTGATGCTGAATGTTACAATACACTTATAATACAATAATTAACCACTTCATTCGAGCAAATAAAATGACGTTTACTACCACTCGAACTTTGAAATGGAACATTATTTTGAGATTTTTTCTTCCAGAACCCCGAGAAAAGTAGCCAACATTTGTGCGTTTCATAAAAAAAAAATTAAGGGTTGTGTCCAAGACACGACCGAAGTATGACGTAGAACTACGCAAAATTGATGTATGTCAAGCATTTTTGATTATATAACTTTATCTTAAATTTTAAAGTAGTTCAATGTTTCGGTTATGCATTAATAACGTTTCCACGTTTCGTATTAGGGGTTGTTCATTAACTACGTTTAAAATTCTTTGGGAATCTTCCCCCTCCCCCCCCCTCGTACTTAATGAACAGCCCCTTAGTTGAACGGGACCCAAGTCACCTTTAACCACTGACTTGCTCCTGCTTACTGCAGGACAAAGCGCCACGCCGTCCGAAGCGGTAATGAGAAGAAGCGCGACAGCAGTGCTGTTTTATATCTTTTCAGAACGATTTGCAACCAAGCGGTACTCGATTATGATGACTGGGTTTGGAAAAACGCTTATTTTATGAAAAAAGTGGTAACATTATCATTTGTACATTTTTCAAAAGTTTTATTACAGAAAAATTGGACAAATATTTATTTCAGCAGGTTCGTAATGTAATATCCTATCGATTGGCGTATTTGGATTTTAATTTCATCTATAAATGACAAAGTTACAAGCGTTCAAAACCTAACACTACTTCACCACACATATTTTTTGATTTGCACCCCAGTATAGTCGACAAAGACGTAGTTCTACGTCAATAGAAATTAGTTGGACCAGTTTTGTGAAATCGCTGGTAGAAAGTCACGCCAAAACTGCTTGACAAAGTGGTCAATTGCTCAAGAGGCTAATACCTCACTAGGTGGCTCTAGTGTTCTGCTAAACTTTTTATAAATACAGGATTGACATCTCGAAATCCTAGCTATATACAATTTGGCTGTTTTCACCAATTTTGTCGATGAGTGTAAGAATTGTGGACATTAGGATAGATCAAGTTGTATGATGGATTACATCCTCTTTGCTCCCCACTGCTCTTTAGATCTGTATTGAGATCCTCAACAACTGTGCCAAATTTGAACGAATTTGGGTACGATACGGATTAGCGGAAGAATTTTAAAGCTTGAATGGGACAATGTATTGTCCTAATTATGCACTTTTAGAAATCAGAAAACGATCCATAAACAATGAAAAACGCTCCTTAAAAACACCCAAATGATCCATAAAACGTTCAACAATGAACCATAAACTAATGACATTGATCCATAGAAAATCAAGTTTGCACACTAAAAAGTACAGATTAAGGAAGAGCAGAAGGGTGAAAACCAGTGATGGAAATCAAGCAAGCATGATCCGATTTCCAATATGATCGTGATCTGTACAAACTGCGACCAACGATTAGTCCTCTTCCACCTTGAAAATACGTTATCGCGTAGGCATCTCACAGATAACAAATACATTGTTAGACTGCGTCAAGCTCAGAGAAAAGAGTTACCCTTTTCGCTCATTATATCCACAAATCGGAACATGTGCTTATTTCACGATACGAGAGTGAGTGTCTCTCTGTGAGTAGCATTCTTTGGCAGTTTGGGGTTAAACGCTGTCCAGATTGGAGAGTTATAATATGTTATAACGGTTGTCAAATAATTGCAACACAGAAACCGCCATCAAGATAGCGAGAAACATGTTATAACCATAGAGGTAACTCTAAGACTAGTAGCTCCCGAAGAAAAGTGCTCAAGTTTTTGGCTCAGCTCTGGTACTATCTTCGGTCCTAAGCTATTCAATGCACCCCTCGAAACATAGGAAAATCCACTAACCCCTCATTTTATCTGTCAAACTTTCATAGCGAATCAAAACAAACATTGCGTAGTACTAGAATTTCAACTAGAATGAGATACGTTAATCGTTTGCTTGGGACCAATAGGCTAGTCAAGTAGTGAGCCAATTTAAAATCGTTGGTTTCGTATTGATTGTTGTTATAACTCTGTAGTCTGAACGTACTATTACAGAGCAATAGCGAATTTGTTTATTCCCAGGTTGGTACCAGTTCCAACCCAGTGCAAACCCGAACTTTTTTTCAGCGCGAAAGTCGACCCGTGCCAGGTTATAAAAACAAACGATCAAACTGACGTTTGCTAGAAAACAAGCCGACCCTAACTTGATACCCAATCCAGGTTGGAACGGTATAATAAACAAATTCGCTATAAGCAAGCATCAGCAGATAGGTGCTGACCATCGGTAGGGGAGAACAGTCCATTACTTATTCTGGAAATATCATGTGCCAGAATGTTAGTTCAAGCAATGATGATTGTTAAATTCACGAATCGACAATCGGATAGCTATGATAAACAGCACAGGGCCATTTTACCCCAGGGGTGCGTTTTGAACCACCCTACCCTAACTTTTAACACGAAGGCTGAAAAGGGGCGATGTGCGGCTTCTATAGGGGAGGAGGATGCAAACAAGTCGACTCTTTCGTTCTCTTGGTTTCGAATGCAGCAACAGACGTGACGTAACGTCTGTGGCTGTATTAGAACTTGACGAAAATGAAAGAGTCGACGCACCTCACCTGTAAATAGCGCACATTTGACTCGGTATGTCAACACGGTGAACTGTTCTTTTCTTTTTCACTCCACCGAAAGGACCAATGCCGCCAACGCAAACAAATGCGTCTTTCCCAATTCACAGACTGAAAAAAAGCAAAAACTTCAAGGGACAGCTCTATTAGGTTGTACGCAATGATGACGTAGGACTACGTGGTCTTCTATAATAAATCTTATTTGTTAACTGCAACAGGAGCTTGTATTTTGTGTAGGATTAGGAATTATAGCGGGGTTCTCTCAGTTCATACTTTTTAGTATGCTGCTGCTGCTGATGCCAACGACCGGACACCACCACTCACGGTGATTGGAACTGAATCCGATCAGCGGTCGAGGTCAGCCTTGATAACTAGCTGCTTGTGGGGAGCCTTTCGTTGTGTATTGGAGAACACCACCATTCACCACGCGGTGATTTAATAAAAATCGTTTGGTGAGACCGGATGGAATTCAACTTTGAAATCTGTGATAGGGAAATCGCTTTTCGCAGGCAATCGGCGATAATTTTAATTATCATAGCTACAGTTGCACAATCGTGCAATTTTCAAATGGGCCGTTTCAAAAAACGCTAAAGTCTTAAATTTAACATATGCGTCGACATATTTCTGATCGATTGGTGATAGAAATAATTGAAATTGGTCCAGAGGCAGCTGAGTTATTAACGTTCAAAATCTTTCATAATTGTGTTACATGTTCCATTTTCAGTTTTCACAAAGTGTACCCCTATATAGAAATCACAGACGTAGTCCTACGTCGAAAAAAAATCACGATCATTATGGCAATGATCATGATATGATCACGGTTGTTCATCAGTTGTACATAATCCGAACAACTTCTTGTACTCAGCTGTAGTTTGTAGAGTGCACTCACAACAAGCCTTGCGTAGTATAAGTAATGTATCGTGAGAGCACACAGCAATGATGTTGTTATCGTCTTGCTCTCTTGAGATCTTGGTAACTCACTGTTCGAAATGCTCTCTGCGTATTAGTGTTAAGAGTCAGAGTTCATCGTTAGCTTATGATGATGCCCAAAATTCTTGTAGCAGGTGTGCGAGATGGAAAATGGCAGGTGGGCAGGAACTCATGGTCACCCAGTATTGGTAAGTTCTTTGCCATACAGAAATTCAAAACAAAATTTTTTTTTTGGGCGAATTTGGACGGTTTTTGACCTGTTTCATATGACCGGAAGGTGTTTGCTGGTCACAAATGCCGTGCCAAACTGATCCTACGCAATTAATCAACATTTGATGTGAATTTCGCTAATAAACACGAGGAGCATTTCTTTCGAGCCATAATATTGCCATAACGAAATGGACATAGTTCATTTTAGTAAACAAACTAACACTTCTTCCGACTGTTTCACCTCTCTTACCCGCTTAGACAGGTGTGTGCGTATTCATTGATCGCTAGAAGCGATTTTTTGACATTACTGGGAAAACAAGAATGATGTTTGCTGTGTGGCGAAGGACCCGTCGAGAGCACAGCAACCCTAGTGGTCAGAATTTGAAGCTTTTGGCGTCGATGTGTTCTCTATAACAATAACAACATCAGTTGATTTTTTTTTCGCAGTGCAGTTCGAAAGTGCTTCATTGAAATTCAACATGGAAGAAGATAGAAGGAAAATA